CTTGTTTTAGAATACATTTTACGTTTTTTTATTGTGGTACCAGTGAAAACATGTAGTGTAAAAAGAAATTAAATTTATTTTTTTCTATAAATGAAGATGAACAATGGACAAATTTATAAATATTTTGTTTTGTGAACATTGAAAAAGGTTGTATCATGAACTTCTGTTAATTATGGATGTAGTCTGCATAACATTTTCAGTAGTTCTAAATTAAAATAATAAAGATCTTTTTTTTTTTTTTAGTTACAAGTAATGGTTTGAACATAAAAACTTGTGTGTCCAGTTGAAATATTCAGTGGAGAAATTTATATTATAAAGTTTTGTTGGTTGCAGATGGAATCTGGAGAATGGAGAAAGTTGTTGCATGCTTACTTTGTGATGGTTGCCAGGCATCCAGATAACCAAGAGTAAGTACATTTACTTGAGTGTGTCTCATTATTAATGGTACATTATTTTGCACAGTATATTCTATGCTGATATGAAGAAATTTAAACTTAATACACAATATGAAAAAAACAACATTTTTTTAAAGTTTAACATACAGTTATCTTTTCAAATATCTTAAAGCTGACAGTTTTTAAATTATGGTCAGTAAAGGTTTACTGTGATCACTGTTATCTATGACAAGGGTTATTTGTTAGATGTTTAAAGGTTGGCCTTGCATATGTTAAAAGTTAACTGTTATTTGAAGATAATGTAAATGCTGTAAAGGTGATAAAATGTGGTCTTATGCTTGTACTTTGGGGGTAATAAAGTTTGCCTAATTTAACATTTTTTCAGACTTTTTAGAAGTTGACATAGAGGTGATTTTAAGAGGCAGTTGTAGTAATTTACATTTATCCATATTTTGTTAATTTGGTTAAATATAATTATTGAGAAATTTTAATAACTATTTACTTATAAAGATGACCAAACTGAGACCATTCAATTATCTTCAAATATCTTTAAAATTTTATAACTTCATTATCTAACTTATTCTCTGAAATGTTATTTTTGCAGCTAAGTACACAAATCTAAAAACAGTTTGAATTTTAAATATTTATTACAATCACAGATAGAGTTTATGTACTATATTAAGTAACACCTGTGAAATTATATGTAATAGCCCTATTATTCATATATTAAGTCATGTAAAACTATTGTTTCTAGTCATAACTTCTTTTAAACATTGGTGGAGTTGTACAAATATACCAAAGCGTTGAAAGAAAACACAGCTTATGAACTATATATGTGTGTGTGTTATGAGTAAAGATATAAGGAAATAAGAAGAAGTATTTTATAATTTTTGTGTTTTGTTTAATGAAACACAAATAATAAATTATTAGTGTGAATTATGCCAGTTATTACAGAGTTTTTAAACCAAAAACTACAAGCTGATTGAAGATAAAAAAAACCAACATTAATACATTCATATGACGGTAAAATGGGGTGACTAGAAGTATTTAATTTTTCCTTGGATAAGAACATATATCATAAAAAGTAAAGACATTATTCATATATATATATGTGAAGTTTGGTTAGGTGGGAAATTTAATTGTATTAAATGCACAATATAATCACATGAAAACACCAGTCATTTGATGCTTAAATTTTAATTTGTAGTTTATCAATCAAAATTTATGTTCCACCATTTAAAAAAATAGATGCAGTATAAAAATTATCTTAATTCTCGGCTTTAGCGGGAAATATTCTATACATTTAAAAAGCTAGATTCACATCCAGTAAAAAAAACAACTTGATAGGTTCTTAGAGTATGTTTTTTCTGCTTTCCAGTGTCATTTTAAAAAATATATTTTAAAAACTCAATTTATTGTTTAACAAGAACTGCTGATTAAAGTAAGCTAATAATATAGATCAATATAAAAATAATTTAATAGGAACATATATATATTAATGAATATATCACTATTTAACAAACTGATTAGAAGTCCATATACCATAAAACTAAAATCTAGATTGATTCTTACTCTTAGAATGCATTGAACCACCAGTTGAAATCTGCTGTTAACATGGATGTTTTTACTATGATCCCAACAAAATTTCATGATGTTTAGTTTGCTAGAGAAATTTAGTTTAGTCTTAAATCCACACATAAATCTTTATAAATATAAATATGATGCAAACAACTGTTGGGAAAAGTTTTGAGCATTATAACAGTAAGTTTTAAACTGAACTGTAAAGAACAATGTAGGCTGTTATTTACAAATCACATAAAAACAGTCACTTATTTAAATCCACACAACTTACCTACACCTGAAATATGAATATACTCATTTAACAAGAAAAATAGGTATTATTGGATTTAGAAAAAGTACAGAAAATGCCTAAAGTTCCATTTTTTAGACGGAGATCTATTGAACATATTTTCTCATTGCCTTTTTGTTTTTATTGAATATAATGACAGAATCAAAACTCATAACTTGACATGTTTATCAACAAATTTGTTGATTTTGTAAAGCTGAGGTTCTTAAATTAATCTAATAATCTTGACAACCTCAAACATTAAAAATATATGTACTTAATGTAGCCTGACCATGTTGTAGCAGTAAGTTTAGAACTGCATGGGATTTTACGAGAGCTGAACATGATACAGTTACAATCATTTTAACAATTTTCTCAAATACTTATGAGTTATGCACCTGTTATGTTAACATTTTCTTAATTTAACAGGTGAGTGTTTAGGGGAGATGTTCTTTACTTGACTTAGAGAAATTACCTTTAAAGGGTACATGTAAGCCTAATTAAAAGGTGAAATTGTAAATGTGCATATAACTAAAAAAACTAATAAACTTTTACCATTTTAAAATTGATGCTTTTCTCATTTAATGGACAAAACTGTTCCAAAATGTTGAAAAGCTTTGAAACTATTATAGCCTTAACAGTGTCTGAAAAATAGATTTTTCATTATAAAATCTGCAACGTTGTTAGAAGCTAAAGATCTGACTTGAAAGAAATTGAAGTATCTGGGTGCACATTTTAAAAATTAAACTTTTGCAACACTATTTATTGACATTTCTGTTGACTTACTGTATTTCAGTTTCATAAGTGTTTAATTCATAATAATGAAGAAATTCAATTTCAATCTGTATTGACTATCCACTGATGAATACAAAATATATGACTGATGTGTTATTTTGACTCAGAATATGAAGCTTGGTGTACTAAATGCCTTAAGTTATTCAACAAATCAAGTATGAACAAATGGACTTTGAAGAACCAAACAAGTAGTAAAAAATGTTGAAAAAGTTAAATAGTTAAATATCTTGTGTTATCCTTCTCACTTAAGGGAGAAATATAGTATATAGCTGTTCTTTGCTTAAAGAAACAATTTGTGTAAAAACCTGATGCAGTATAAGGTTTAATTGACAAAGTAAAGCCCATAAAAAGAATTAAGCTAAGCTTAATACCCACTCTACCCTAAATTATAATATAATAATATCTTAGATTTTACAGTTCTGTGGTAATGATAGTTGTTATGGGATATTTTCACATTTCTTTTGAGTAGATATGCCACTCCTGACTTGGTTTCTATTTCTCCCAGTACTGTCACAGCTTATGTTTCGAAAATATTCACTCGTTCATGAGTCTAATATCTTGTTTCTGATGCTAAAATTAAGACTTTCTAAAGAAATATAATGGTATTTATTTGTTGCATCCTTGATCCAGTGGGATTAGCCTGGTTATAGTACCTGTCCTATGACTGTATACTTTCCATGGCTTGCTTAGTTTCAGTGGATTGGGATATGTGTTACATATTTCTGCTGGTGTTGACACTTGATGATTTATGTCCATTGAAATAGCATGGAACTAAATATTTTGTTCTCCGTCCACTATATTTTTCTTTTTTATCATAGGTGTTTTGGTACATGATATGAAGCATGGTTTAATTGGACTCAGAAGGATCTTTATGTGCCTGTACTTGTTATCTTTTTTAGCTAGTAGCTTTGATTCAGATGTGTTGAAGTGTCTGTTAAGCTAGTGTACCATTTTTGGAGCAGTTCTCCTTTTTATATCATTGACCATCAAGGGAATTCATCTTTTGTTATTGTTTTAATTACTATTTGTTATCCCACTATATTGCATCAATATATTTGAACAAAAATTATCAATATGACTACTTATGTAAGATTATTTGTACTGAAGCAAAAAAGTATCATAAACCATTAAAAGTTTTTAAATAATGAGATTTCTGGTCTTTCAGTAGTTTTACAATGTATGGCTATAAGCAGTTAACAACCATTTTATTAGAAAAGAAATACAGCAATATTTTTTTTTACATTATGTTCCTTTATTTATTAGAATCCTACCAATAAGTATTTATTTTATAGGTCAGCCTTTGTAAATCCTTTGATACTAGATTCACCACAAGAAGAAGCAATATTCAGACAAGGAGAAGGTGAGAGGTTTTGGGGGGCAAAGTAAACCACTTGTTTTTGTTTTTGTTCAGTATTTCCCTTCCTTACAAATCACATGCCTGTATTTTTAACAAATACATTGTCAGTTAATGAGATCATGATGAAGATATAAAACATGAACATATAAATCATAAACAATATACATTTGTAAAATAAATTGTTAAATAGTACTTGTATACTATAGAACATAAAAAAACAGAATACTTACATGTGACTAAAAGGAAAAGATGTTTCTAAAATTGTGGAATATTATATGGCAAGCATTTCTGTTTCTTATTTTACTGATTATATGCATTGGAAAAATTCAACTTCTCACCTATAAACAATGGTCATGAAACATGCATACTTTTCCACTTCCAGCAAAGACTGATGAAATAACATTCACAATTAATGCTCAAGAGTTAATTTGATCAGCATGTTCTTGCATACTTTCATTGTACTTTATATGTGAATCTTGTAAATATCCTTCCAGAGAGAAAAATGGATCACAGCTGCTTTGTTTTTTATTCTTTTTTAGACATTGAAATAGTAGTATATGACTACATTTTTTTAGTATTAGTTTTGTATCATAAACTATTTTACTGGACTGTGCTTACATTTTTTACATATTCAGTACTTTCATTTCTAAGTTCAGTTTTATCAGTCTAGTTGATTATAGATATTATATGATTACAAGATTATATAATTGTTTTACTTTTCTTTTGTACAACAGTGTAAAATGATACAGCACCATAAAAGAATAGTATGATGTTATACACTACAGAAATACAGATCTTTGTTGCACATAAGTGTTTTATAGGTAATTATAGAGATTATTTACAAATGCACTTAAACCTACATATAGATTAAGGAGTTTTTAATCACAACTACAAAATTTTTGTATTGCAGGGCTCTGTAGTAATTTGTAAATCTTATTGTTCTCACTGTCATCAAAGCTGAGTACTCACAAAAATTTTGAACTGTAATTTACAGAATATGTTGAAGCAATGTAAGGAGCCTGTAAGGATAACTTGTTTCAAGGTTGTTGGGAGTATTAAAAGAAGCCGGACCCATATATTAAAAGATTAATGTGGATCACTAAAATGAAGCCAGGTCATACTTAAAACAGATTGCAGTATTTTTACTAATTAAAACTTGTATTTAAGTTTGGTATCTTCTTAATCTCTTTTCTAACCCTAATATAGAATTTTTATTTTTGTTACATGTTTCCAGAAAATTTCTTCCCAATCATTGTACTGTTGTATTTATTTTTAAAAAGTTTCTTTTACTGTTATTTTTTCCATTCAGACTATATATATGAGTGTTAACCAAATCAATATTCTTAATCACTACATTGTGTGAAATTATATGTATATACATCTAAGATGCTTAAGAAACAACAAGCAGTATTCTCTTTGGGTACTATGTTCTTCTAGAATAATCTATAAATATTTTTCAGTAGCATTAACAAATTAATATCTGTAACACAATTTTAATTTATACAACAGTGTTAATTATTTTATCCTGTTGAGTATTTATTTATTTATTCATAATTCTATTATAGCTTTACTTCTTATATTTGATCTACATAATAACATAAATTTACCAATGTCCAGCTAACAAGACCCGCAGACAAAAATGGTCACACCAGAGTCTGTTACGTTCTGCACCTAGTGAACAAGAGCGGGAAGTATTACATAATTTGTTTCTTGAAACTCTTGACCCAAAGTAAGTAATACAGAAGTGTGTATTTTATTGTGTCCTAAAACTTTAACTTGTGTATCGTTAATTTAATATTATGTGGTTAATTCTTTGAAACCCTTGATTCATCATATTTTGGTACTATCAGTGTTTTCCTCAAGACTTCTTTGAAATATAAGTACAAAAGTCTATTTTGTAATTCCTTGCTGTTATATACTTTACTACAGTCTATTTTGTTTCAGGTATGTAAGTCACTGTTACACTTAGGTTTTTAATTCCCTTTAATATTTTAACATATGACAGTTTGTTTTTGATTCTCTTATAAAATGTTTCTTGAATTTCTTACTTCATATTTGTAATACTCCAGTCTGATTCTTACATTCTTTTGTAGCAACATATATGCAATACTTCAAAATTTGCATGAAACTGTTGGTTACTGTACACAAACGCTGCTACATAGTCCTTATAACTAGTGAAATACTATGTTTTTTTTACTCGAAACTGTTGATTCAGAGTGCATGGACAATATGAAATAATTTTGTTTCTTGAAGTTTTTCACTCAGTGTGATAAAATTTTTCTGTGTAATTACAGGTCTGTTAGTCTTGTTTCATTGGTGGGAAACATTTTTGAAAGTCTGTTAAAAATGCTTTGTAGGGTCATTTAACAAAGTTGAAAATTTTGTTGGATAGTCAACATGGTTTCACTAGGGGAAGAACTTGCCTTTCTAAACTTTTGATACTCTTTGAAGAGGTTACTGCTTACACAGATGAGGATAAGGGTATGGATTTGGTTTATCTGGATTTTCAGAAAGCATTTGAAAAGGTAACACATAAAAGCCTTTTAAAGAAATTATCTATGTAGGTGTGGGAGTTAAGTTTTGGTCATTGAAAAAGTGGCTGTTTGGAGGAAAGAGGATTATTATAAATGGAGTTCAGTCAGACTAGCTTAATGTCACAAGTGGGGAGTCTCAGGTCTCATTGTTAGGACTTTTACTTATTTTGATTTAGATCAATGGCATAGATGAAGGAATGATCAATAAGCTACTTAAGTTAGCTGATGACAAAATATTTATAAATTTGTCCATTGTTCATCTTCATTTATAGAAAAAATAAATTTAATTTCTTTTCAGATTTTATTCCATAAAACCATAATCTTTGTTATTCAGCAGCTTTTGTATGGCCTTGAATGATAATATTTTTATTGTACAAGTTTACTAACCATAGATGTTCTGATCACCAAAGTCAAACATTAGTGACTTAGTGACAGGTTATATCTTGTTTTAGAATACATTTTACGTTTTTTTATTGTGGTACCAGTGAAAACATGTAGTGTAAAAATGATGCTGGCAAATTAGGTTTACAATCTAAAACACATATCATTCAACTCATAAATAATTTAGACAGTAACATTTATGACATCAAAATACTACAGTGACTAGTCAGATCATACACTGAAGGCTACAGGTGCTAGAGTTTAAGTTTTGGAGATAGAGCCTGCTCACTGGTGTTGAGTGCTGATTTTCTAAATCAGATGGCAATGGTTTCTAATGTGAATTGAATAACATTAAATATTGCCTTCCTTATAACTCTGCATGGTAAGGTTATCAAACATGTTGGAAATAATGAATGGCCTCTCTACTGTGACATTTGATATGAGAAAAAAGAACATGTTTTTACAGTTTATGGATAAACAATCCTATAACATAAAACAAAATTAAGAAAATGCTTCACAGAAATTATCCAAAGGTATAAGTTAACTGTATCTTTAAAACACAACATAGACTAATGATTATGTTTCCCTTCAAGAACAAAATTGACTTTTCACATAAGTACTCTTTAGAATATCTCTACACATGAAAACTTGTAAATGCAAGGTAATGCTTATGGGTTATCATAATTTGAATTATAAGATTGCAAAAGGAATTGATAATGTTGAAGCATCATCTGTATTGGAATATCTGTCATCATACACAAAGTGTTCTCTGGTGGGACAGCAGTAAGTCTATGGATTTACAATGTTAAAGTCAGAGGTTAGATTCTCTTGGTGGACAAAGCAGATACACAAAGTAATAGATTTTTTTCATGGAAATTTTTACAGATTGGTATATAAATCACATTTTATTATTTGTCAAATATAAGTTATATATACGACTATATTTTTGCTTGTGAAACTGCCATTTGCTCTGTATTTTTAGAAAAGAATCTTTTAAAAAAGATTTTATTTGTTTGCAGCTTACCTCTGAAAGGTGTGATTTTAATTGTTTATATTTTATATTATCATTGAATTGTGTAGTTTTAATTTAAGGTATAAATATAATATTAGTGTGGTTCAAATAATTTAGTGAAATGTAAGAGATATCTGTAGAACTGTAAAAGACCATGTAATAATTTTATAAGAAGAGTTAGTGTATGTAGAAATAGGACGTGTATGTTTCTGTACATCAAGCATATCATTCAACAAATTTGACTCATTGGTGTATCAGGCTAATAAGCAGGAGAAATGTACTAGCCCAGCTATTTTTTTTCCATTAAAATGACTAAATTATTACACACTGAAGATGAATACATATTTATTTTCATGGCAGTGGCATCTTCCACATTATTGCAGAACTAAAGATAATATTATATGTGACTCAGATGGAAAGTGTATGGGCAGGTTAACCAGTCTTCACATTAGTATTCCTGATGTGTTGAAAATAGTATGATGTAATTAGGAATATATAAAAACAGAATCTCTGAACAGGCTATCCTGTCTACATATATGACAAAATCAAAACAAGCACATGGTGGTTTGAAATTTGGAATACCTCACCCTTTTCTGTCACATCTAGGAAAATACCTGCCAAGCTATAAGTCATTTTATCCAAGCACAGATGTTTCATCTAGTATCAGTAAAACTTTTCATTAAAAAATAGCTATTCTAATTCCACAAAAAGTAATCACATACATGGTATTATAAGTATAAAACTAAGTAATTGAACATTTTAGTTTGTGAGTTAGTAATTGAGATACATATATTTGTATAACAGGCTTGTGGTGGATCAACCTGTTGTCAATAGTAATCTTTTTTTTTTTTAGTGACAGTAGAGTTTTAGTGATTCAAAGAAAATATAACAACTAGCATTTTAGTAACTTTTAATAATTAAATACAGTGTTAAATTTTACACACATGCACACAGAACAAAAATAGCCCTGGGCTAATTCTTATGAAACTTTTAGTAACTCAAACTCAATACTTGGTAGTCTTGGTCATTGGGTTAGTGGATTTTTACATCCTCATATGATGTCTGAAGACCAAAACAAAAGGAAAAAAGATTCCTATACTAGATTACCTTTAACTGGTAATAAATACAGGTATTGCATGTTTAAATACATTTATTGTTTAAATAACTTTTAGTTATTAAGATGTGGAAAAGCTATACAACTATTATAACTAAAGAGCAGTTGAATATTGTTTAGAGCACACACATTCAAGGTAAGAGTCTTACCACCGTGTTCCTTGTGGATGGAAAATGCTAAACTAAAGAATGTGATAATTTGTCATCCTCAGGTAAGTGAATATTTTTTCCTCACACAGATTACCATGATTTATTGATGGACAATAAACCATTCTATTTGTAACAGTTGTAATGTAACCATTATTTTCTTTATATTTTAAAGATGTCTTCAATTTTAATAAAGTAATATTTCTAAGAGTTTTCCCTTGGTACCTGAACTGAATATCATCTGTGTAAATTATTTCATCAGTAATAAAGAACTTTTTCAATATATATCTTCTGCTGAGATATTGATAAATGATAAACTGTGCTTACCTGGGAATGTGATGAACAAATGTCTGTAAAAGTTTGCTTTAGTTAGAGTTTTAAGTAATGCATACAGTTGTTCATGTGTGATGTTAATAACATGCATTTGTAAGACCATTAGTTCAGGTTTTAATACAGTAAAAGAAACTTATTTTATAAAGTACTAGTCAGTCTTCTGTCATGTAGCTGTATATTGTTCAGACTATACAGAATTAAGAGGAGGATACTCAATCAATAAAATATTAGTATGTAAACTAACTGCTGTGGATGACGGATGATTATAATTTTTTTCTGTAAATTGCAACAGAAAAGGTATTTAATAGCTTTTACATCTCTAACAAAGTAAGTCATAATGCATAATTCATAAATTTAGAATAACTTTTATTCTCTGTCTTTCAGGTACTGTAATTTTTTGCTGCTAGGCATTTATTAATTATTAATATTAATAATTATTAATATTAACTTCTAATCAGAGCAAGCTACTCACATAGAGTTAAACTCAAATTCAACCTGGTTTCAGTGATGGGTATAATCAATTAAATGTATTTTTCTTACATTTGTATTTGTAGCGATTCAAATGCATCATTTCATCAGTGGGGTACTCTTGCTACTAATGATATTTACTGCCATAATCTCAATAATGTCTCACAAGATTCAGCCATTTTGAGCTTTGAGATTTGAGCTAGTACTAAATACGTATATTAAACTAACTAATGCAAAACAACCTTTATAATGAAAAACAATAATCAAAACTAAAACTAAAAAGTAATAATATTATATATATATCAAACATTCTAACCAATACTATTCATAAAAGAAACTAAAAAGAAATAATAGAGTATACTTTACCTGTGGAGCACAAAAACACTAGAAGTCTGTTCTTCGTGCCAAATGTCTATTTCAACTGATATGGTTGCAGAGATAACCTGTCACTATTATTTTCTTGTCTAGAATCAAGTAAATATAGCAAAACATTTTTAAAGGCAGCTAGCTTTATGCTGGGAGGAAAATATATTTCATATGAGATTGATAGATAGGCAAACAAATTGACTTAAGCAGGATGTAAAATATATGTTAAATGAGGCTTGCTAAGTTCTAGGTTGATGATAAGTAAATTAAAGATTTGTCAAAAATGGTTTGTGTTAGCAACACATCTTTTTCAGAACTTTAAGAAAAACATGATTTAAACTAAGACTATTTAAAAGTTATTTACCAAAACAATAGCTTTGGTCAAGTTTCTTTTAATAACATTCTCTTGTGATTCATCAGGGTTTTTATTATCAGCTAAAGTAAAATGCTTTTATCTTAGTAGTCATACAATATTATCAAAAGTTTACATAGAATATGCTTGTTTTCTAAACTTATTTGGGAATGGTGAATTAATTATATGGTTAGCTTCAGATCTTCTTTACTTTTATTGTATTTTAATAGCTGTATTAATTTATGCATGTGTATACTTTTGCTTTTTTACAAAATATTTTGCATACTGTTTGATGCTGAAATCACACACACACACTTGTATGAAGTAAGGAATAAGCATAAAGGTAATATGTTTGGACTAAAATTGTAAACCCCCACTGCAACATAAAATATTATTCCCTTTTTTTCTTCTTTGTCAAAAAGTGCCCAGGACATGTTACACCTCCCTCCCAGAATAGAATTTGTATGTTTGCATAATTGTCAATGAGGTTGTTATATTGTATGAGTAAATACTGAAAATTATTCTGTGCAACCTAAAAGTTACAATGACAAAATTTTCAGTTCTTCATGGCAGAAATTTTTAAATGTTTTTTTTTGTGTGAAACATTATTACTTTGTTTGATAGAGGCTGATAATTACTTACAAGTATGCCCCTCAGTGGCTCAGCAATATGTCTGCAGACTTATAATGCTAAAAACTGGGTTTCAACACTCATGGTGGGTACAGCACAGAGAGCTCATTGTATAGCTTTGTGCTTAACTACAAACAAATTTACAAATATCAGTGGAAGCAAAAAAAAAATCTAAACATATTATAAAAGTATGTGTTTTCTTTTAAACCACAAGTTACCAACTTGTTTTTGTACCATTCAATACTAAGTCAAAATATTACATCATATTGAGTCAGTTTGTTATGCCTATTACAACACTCAGTGTAGAGAACTGACCACAACATGTAGGTAAAATCACAGTAATAAGTGGGATTAATTGCAATATTGAAGGTATTTTTGTTTATGTTCATTTTATAAATTAATTATTATTATTAGGGGCCATGTAACTGAGAAGTTCATAACCACAATAAATTTAGTGTATAAATAGTTTAGAACAAATATGTTTAAAATCACTGAATAATCCCTGTTAATTCAAGATGATAGAAGCTCAAAATGGGTTTTATAAAAATTAGTCTTCAGAATACTTTTAACTTTACATTTAAAGAAAAATGTTTTATATAACCCATACATCTGGAAAACAGGTTTTATTCTTTTGTATTTTATTAAGTTTTGTATTTTATTAAGTTCTTCATACCTTCAGGAATGATACTGATTCTCCACCATTTTTGCAGGATATATTATCAAATGAGCATTTGAACTGGCATAGGCTTGCACATTATTATTTGGGTAACATATACAAATATGCATAGTGTACTGAAATATTGTCTTGTTTCTGGTTTTATTTTTTTACAAATCCAAGCCCATTAGATGACAATCACACTGTTTTTGTGAACATGCATATTTGCAATGTGCTTGCCAAACTTTTAATTACTGAGGTAAACATGCTGCTGTAAAACTTTAATATTAGAAATTAATAAACAAAATATTAATGTTTATTAAAAGTGCAATAAATGTGTAAAATATCATCTTTAGCTATACCATGCTACAGAATAAGCTGGAACGAATAAGTGTGATATTCATCAAACAGGGCTCAAGAAGTTGCTGCTTTTAATTAGTTTCAAGTAACATTACTTTGGGCAAATGTAGTGGAGCACCTTTATGTATAATTTATCTTGCCAAATTTAGTATAAGAGGATACATTCTGCTTCAGAAGTATATTAATTAACAAATTATATATGGTCACTAAGGGGCTGACATATCAACCCTGTCCATACAGGCATTCTTTTCTGCACATATAACAAGGTTTTACTGAATTACATTCAAAATTTAATTAAAGTACTTTATTATCATGCTGTATAAATAAATGTGGCATCGAAATGTAGGTAATAATCCAAATTTTAATATTATATATGTTTTAAATTCTTAATTCTATAAGGCAATATTTAAAAATAATCCTCACTTCCCCTAGTATGAGAATTGTGACATTTGCTCTCTAGGTATTCCAGCTTCTCTAATTTATTTACCATCCTTCCAAGAAGTACAAAGTTTAATGTAAATTACTCATTATAATAGTGTTATTACTCAGGCAAAGCATAATTTTTATAACCTTCAATCTTATTTCGTTACAGAGCCATAAACTAGAACATCAGAACCCTCTCGCCACACCCATCTATGATACCCTTTCTTTCACAAATTGCCAATAGTTCTCTGTGGTGTTTAATACTATATTATTTATAGATAATAAAAAAGTAAGGTTTTATTCTACCAAATGACGCATTATATTGCATTATTTGCTGTACAAAAAATTGTGTATTTTAGTTTCAGTTCAAACTTTATTCCAATGAGAAACACATCGACTAGCTTAGCTGAATTTTTAATAGCTCTTGTTGCCTAATTAGAAACCCAGAAAAATTGTAATAGTTGTAGGACATTGTCTTCTTTTTATATGTTATTATTCTGTGTTCTATGGTGCATTATTTATTTAAATAAAAATTTAGTGCAGTAGTACCATTAGTACTGGGATAAGTACTATATTTTGTGTTTTTAATGTATGTTATTTATTTATTTATTATAAAAGTAACTAAAATGTAAAAATTAGAAACTTTTTAGGTTATATTAGGTAAATCAAAGAAACGTAATAATATAAAATATTCACAAGGTATGGTCGCTTATTTTTTTGTTTGGAATTTGTGCAAAGCTACACGAGGGCTATCTGCACTAGCCATCTCTAATTTAGCAGTGTAAAACTAGAGGGAAGGCAGCTAGTCATCACCATCCACCACCAACTCTTGGCCTACTCTTTTACCAATGAATAGTGGGATTGACCATCACATTATAATGCCCCCATGGCTGAACAGGCGAGCACGTTTGGTGGGTTGGAGATTCAAACTCATGATCCTCAGATTGCGAGTCGAGCACCCTAACCACCTGGCTATGCCAGGGCAGTTGCAGGTAGCCTATACATTACATAATTCAATAGGGTAACATGAGCTACACATTTGCCAAGTGGTTTACAACTTATGTGGCAGGATTATTAGTTAGGTACAGTTCAATACAGTTAGATACAGGACAATAAAACAATAAAATTGAAATAGAAACAGATGTGTAATGTTACAAATTTAAGGCTACTTAAGATAAACAAATGAAGTTTTGTGTTACAATCTGAAGTCATTCTGGAGAGAAAAATAGAGTAATTTAGATTTATTTTGTATATTTTTATGGTGGTTACAAGACCAACCTCGTATAGAGTTAGGGTAGAGAAAATAACATATGAAATATAAAGTTGTATTGAAAAAAGACATTTGAAATTTATTTAAGGGGTTGTAGAGATTATTCAAATGAAATTTGACAATTTTCAAATGAAGAAAGTATTTTTAATCTTAACATGAAAATCACTTTGTATTCATGGAGAAATTTTTAGTGAAAATACATCATTAAAAACTTTTTTTTTCTCTACAAAAGATTCTTAATGCATACTGAATGCTTGTGAAATTTTATGGAGATACACAAAACATAGTAGAAGTTATAATATGAAAACTATGAACATCAATTTGAGGTCACAAACTTGGCTGAATCGACCAAGTGAGAGTGTAAAGACATTTCTGTACCCTGTATTCACAGATATATAATGTGTGGGTTCTATGTTCCAGATAGTGTAGTACATTAATATTCATAAAATTTGTGTGGCTTACTTTAGATAGGTGTCAAGGGAACTATGCTCCTAATTGCTCATCAATTTAGTATACTCTTTAATAAGTATAACAGAATGACAACCTATGTTTGCTAACCCATCTTTTGATAGGTTTAGCAAAGTCACGACCTCTAATCGGATACACATCTGTAATAAAAATTGGAAAATCATAACTTTTTTTTTTAATCACTCTCCATTAACCCTGCATTAGTCTTCTGCGGTCTTCACAGACCCCCCAAATATTTTGTAAACGTCAGCACTGACAGATGAAAACACATACATGTTTGTTGTTCTCAGTAGTTTCAGTATTCGGCTAGTTTGTGTTAAATTGTTAAACTTAGTTTAGGTGGTAAAAAAGAAACAAGTTGTAATATTCAATGTTCATTTATTGATTAATAAAGGAAAAGATTTTTTGTGTTAGTGTTTTTTGTTTCCAAAATAATAGTTTATTATTACTTAAATATTTTTGAATTATATTTTTATGATGGGGGTCCACTCAGACCCCAGAAGAATGACTATGGAAAACTTTTGCAGAAGACTAACTTAGGGTTAATAAGTATATAAAATTTCTTACCACTGCTTGGTAATTAGGCTTTTACTGAATATAAAAAAACAACATAATTCTTGATTGGTCACACAACTGCATAATGAATGCAGTGAATGTGCAATTTAGGTTGGTCATCCAATTTCAGTGAAAACAGCAGTCTGAAACATTGACTGCTCATCCAACATTTAAAAACATCAAAATGTTTGATTGATTTCTTGCCTTTAATAAGGTTAATAAAATCATAACCACTGATTGGACACCAATCTTAAAAAAACTATAAAAAAAAACTCCTACTACTTTACATAGTAGTAAAGTCATGACCTCTGCTTGATCGTTCATCTTTAATAAAATCAAAGCACCTCTGTAGTCTCTAGTTTGTATTAATATTAGTACAAAAATCATAATTCTTGATTAGGCACAATAAACTTTAAACCACTGAGGGCTCACTCACTTTTAATGAATGTAATAAAAATCTGGGATCTTTTTATTATGAAACCAGCTGAAGGCACCTGTTAAGGAAGCAAAAATTGTATAAAGGGGTAATGTTAGCTAATATTCCCCTCCCCCCCATTTTGTGGAAGGTAGTAATTGATTCATTTAACTGATTAAGTGTTTGTGTCTTTAAATCCAAAGCCACTAGTCTATAAAAAGTGGAAATGTGCTTTTATCACCCTTCTCAGGCAAATATCTCAAAACAAAATAGCCCATGTACACACTTTGGCCGTTTTTCATTTGCCATGAAAAATATTATGGTGATCAAGCCAGTCACCTCTGGGTGATGCAAGCTAAAAGTCTATTAAAAAAAGTGGAAATGGCCTTATTTCTGGGGTGTTTTTTGTCCACACAGTTGGACAGTTTCAAGTTACCATACCAAAACCAGTCAACTCTGGGTGATGGACACACACACACACATAATGAATCATCTTTATATTTAGATATGTTGAGTGATCATGAGCCCAGTTTTGTCCTTTACAGTGTATATTCAGTTGTGTTTAGCCATTAACCAACTCTTTTTTTTTTCTTTTTTTTTAATCATTCAATATGTTAAGCTAAACATGATCCCATGTTTAGTTATCTTTTTAATGAGTAAGTTTTAAACCAGGCTTAAGAATTAGCCTATTCTACTTTTACTGACCATTGAAGACGTGCAGCATTCGTATGCCTTGTGGCCTTTTTGAATGGGTCACCTTAATATTAAGATGAATCATGGATTTTGTATCATACTCAATCACAATTTTCACTTCTTCAGAAAAATCTCTACAAATACTGTTAATGCACTTGATTAGTTAAACACTCTGACTGTTTATAATACAATCCCATGCTTAACTGTCATACTAGCTGCCTTCAAGAAATATCTATAGATGTGACCTATCTGCCTTTGATATGAATGTTACTGTAGTAGCATGTTCTTGTGCTTGTTAATATAATGCTATACTTAGCCAGTAAATCATTAATCTTTGTTTTTCACATTAGTTAATAAATTCTTGCCTACCCACAAGATCAGTGTGTCTTTGATAACTGTTTTAGCCCAGTTTCATTCTTCATTTCTTCAAAAAACATTCTGCCTTTGATAAGTACATGTACATTAGTAATGTGATTTGTTTTTCTTTATTTAGTACACATCCCTAATATATTGCCCATAAAACTAGACTTTCTTTACAATGACATGTGGATATCGAACCACACCAATATCATTCTGTACTCTTGTTTTAATCTTAAAAATGATAGATTAAAGCTGTTCGTTTTTTTATGTTATATTAATGATAGTTTATATTTTTTGTGAACTCTCATCATGACTTATGCAGGAGAGAAACCTGTACAACAAGATGTTTGGTGGCTTTCTTATGCGACAAGCTTATGAGCTAGCTTGGACTTTGGCATATGTCCATAGGTTAGTTGTGATTTATGTTCCACTTAGTCATAGTGGGAAGCTAGTGTATAAGTAACCTGCTTTTGTTTTAAACCATTTGCATTGTACATGGATCTGAACAAAAACTTGTTTCTGTTTTAAAAATAATTACACTATAGCTTTTCTTAATTTTTCAACAGTTTTTGACATTTGTACAGCATAATAATTAGTAATTTGGTTCTTTAGATGAGATTTGTGGGTTTAACGGTCCTCTATTAATGCAGTAACTTGTTTCCAGATCACAAGTATGTGGTTTTTCACAGTCATTTTTTATAATTAATATGCATGTGACATGTTCTTGCAACTTAATTTGGTCTTTAAAATTGTGTATGTTCATACAAAGTAAAGATAAAGCCATCTAGTGCAGCTGAAAGAAGTGTTTTAATATCACAAAGATATCTTACTTTTAATAACATATCATTAATCTTTGTTATTGATATATTTATACAGATTTAACCTTTACATTGAGAAGCCAGTATCTTTAATACTAAATCTCCTATGGAATAAGTTATTACTTAGGGTTTTTACCTTTAGAGTACATAAATTTAATTTACATGAGTTGTTTCAATAAGCTAATACAGTTGGTAAAACAACAGAAATTTTATGATCAATGTAGACTTATGTTAGCATATTTAATGTAAATAATACCTCACTCTATTTGTACATGTATCAGTTGTGCATTTTTTATTTCCTTCTTGTTTGCTAGAGACCCTATTGCACTTGTGATATTAATTAGTATTTTTCATTAATTGACTCGGTATAATTGTTGTTGAAAGGTCTTTTATGAGATTTTGCAGGCTCACTTATATATTGTTAAATATAGGAACTACTACAACTGTATATATACACTTATTGTTTATTCCCCTTAAACTAAAATACCTTTAATATCTTGGATTGATACAAACATCCTTATAAAATGTGTAATGTCCATGCTGAGCATGTTTTATTCATTCACCATTATGAAGTGTGAAGGAATGTGTTTATAAATGAAAAGTTCAAATGCTGTAATCAGTATTGGATAGTGGTAGGTGTTTAACATGAAAATTACATCCTATTTCTGATATCAAGTACAATGAAAATGTTTTTATTTAAGAATTATATGATAAAAAACCAGGCATATTGATTCATAGTATTTGGTTCATGAAAAGATACTGGTAATTAGCTGCTTCCATGAGTGTGTTTATCAACACTACTGAATGTTATTGTTAAACTCTACTCTTACAGTATGTTCTTCAGTTTTTATGTAATGCTAATGACATTAATACTTAATAAACTAAAATTTCTATTGGAACAGTAAAACCAGGCCTGTCATTGTAAACGTGGATGACATTTGGTTTCGTCAACCTGTGGAGATTGGATCACTCCTATATCTTCATGCTCAGGTGTGTTTTATGTGTGATTGTTCTTCTTGTAACTTTATTTTAGTAGATTCTTAAGAGTGTTTCATGTGTTTGTTCTTTTACTGTTCCTTAATTTTGCTACATTTTCAGGTGGGTTTTGTTTTTGTTTGTTTTTTTACTGTACTTCAGTTTCACTACATTCTCAGGTGGGATCCATGCATATTTATTCTTGTACTGTACCTTAATATCAATACATTCTCAGGTGAGTTTCATGTGTGTTTTATCTTCTTGTATCTCAATATCAATACATTCTCAGGTGAGTTTCATGTGTGCTTTATCTTCTTGTATCTCAATATCAATACATTCTCAGGTGAGTTTCATGTGTGTTTTATCTTCTTGTATCTCAATATCAATACATTCTCAGGTGAGTTTCATGTGTGCTTTATCTTCTTGTATCTCAATATCAATACATTCTCAGGTGAGTTTCATGTGTGCTTTATCTTCTTGTATCTCAATATCAATACATTCTCAGGTGAGTTTCATGTGTGCTTTATCTTCTTGTATCTCAATATCAATACATTCTCAGGTGAGTTTCATGTATATTTTTCTTTTTGTACTTCATTTTCAATACATTCTTACGTGGTGTCATGTGTGCTTTATCTTCTTGTATCTCAATATCAATACATTCTCAGGTGAGTTTCATGTATATTTTTCTTTTTGTACTTCATTTTCAATACATTCTTACGTGGTGTCATGTGTACTTGTTCTTGTACCCACATTTACATGCCATCTCAGGTCCTTTTGTTTCTGTTTATTTTCATTTGTTTTTCTGTGTTAAGACAGTTTATATGCGATGTTTGTTTGTTTTTTCCATTTATAATGTGGATTTTGTCTCTGTTTCTATTTCTTCTTGGCTTTTTTTTTCGTATTTTTAAATTATTTTGTAGGTTTTGTCTTTATTCTGTACTTTTCTTGATCTAGTGGAATTTATTTTTATGTATTCTCATTTCTCTATGATGGTAATTTAGGTTTTATCTCTTGTTTAAGTTTGTTTCTGAGTGCTCTAGTACCTTTATCTGTTTATTTGTACTTTTTGTTCCTTTGTTGTTCAATTTACTTGACTAAGAAAGTTTTATCTTTGTATACTCTCATTTCATTTCACTCATTTGGGTTTTGTCATTATTCATTCTAGTTTCTTTATGCTAAGTTAGGATTTATTGTTTACTTTTTCTTTCTTGTCCGAGTATTGTTCATCTATTGATTGACTTTCAATGATGGTATAGGTTTTATCCTTGTCTATTCTTGTTTCTTCTTCCCTATGCGAGTTTTGTTCATATCTTATTTGATATTTCAGGATCATGTGTCTGTTTATTCTTGTTTCTCCCTGGCCAGGTGGCCTTTCATTTGTTTATTAGTTTTTCTATCTTGTACAGAAGGCTTTATCACAGTTTAGTTTTGTTTCTTCATCCCCAAGTGGGTTTTATATGTATATATATTCTTGCTTCTGAGACAATACCTCACCTATGCACATAGAATAGCTTGATCCCTCACACATCTGCATATGAAACTTGCATGCCAATAGCTCTGAGCTAACTCTGACCTAAAAATCATGTTTAAAATGAACTGCGTTATTGCATGATGACATCATCATGTGATAATAGCCCTTCACTAATAGGAGGGAGACACAACCTCCTTGCACAATAACACCCTTTAAGCATATGTGCTTCAAATAACTTCACTTATTTACTTGGCAGTGACTTGAACTTATTAATTATGTGAGATTTGTAGTAGATTATGGAACTTGAATTTTATTCAAGTTCTAACTGTTTCTTTCATTACTAAAGAAAAAACATTCTTTCCTACCTATAATGAATTCTCAAGTGATGGCAAGTTTGACTTCATCGTATGATAGTGACAACCTATTAACATGGGACCTGTAGCTACTGGAGGTTTGTTATTTGTGGAAGACATTGCAGTCATTGTTTAATGAATTATGGGTTCCCTCAAGCATACAGAACCTCCTCCTTCATTCCATTTGACTGATGTTCCTTCTCTTCAGTTTGAACATGACCAGGATGGTGATGATTTTTCCAGGTATATCCACCATCAGGGTTTACTCTAGGTACTGTTTTATCAGTGGAAGGAAATTCTCACCTTTTTAATCTTTTTTCTTGATATGGTTTCACAGGTATGTTCTTTTTTCTCTCTCTCTTGCTCCAGTGTCTTTCAATTCCTCACCTTTTTTACTACATGAAACCCATACTCAAGATTACTTTGTTTTTCCTACTTATCCTAAATTAAGGTCCATGTGGACTTGTTTCTTGAAAACTGTGCACCCATACTAGCATGCTTTGTCCTTCTCACTTACTTGATTCTTTTTTTCTTGGCTTACAGCCATTCTTCATTTTTATTTCTCAATTCCTAGTCTTTGGAATCTCTTTTTACCTACTTGGTGGTGGTGGTGGGGGGGAGAACTCTTAGCTTCTGTTTCACTTTCTAGTGCTCAATTTTTACACCTTCATCTTTTTTTGGCCATGTTCTATGTTACCTCTCATCACTTCACCTTATTTCTGAGGTTGTGCTTCTAAAGGTTTTCTAGGTATGTTCATTCTCTTATTTTAACCACTTTAGCCCATACTACTACTTCTACTCTATCTCTCCTTACTTGGTTCCTCTGCTGTAGGGACTTGTTGGGTCAAGATACTCTCCCAACTAATGTTTGCCTGCCTCACTCTTATCTCCTTGATCTTCATTGGGTTCTTTTATTTATCTGAATGCATTCAGTAGTATTCCTGACTCTCTGAAGACATTAACTAAGGCTGCCCGGCATCAGTTCCCATTGTCTTTTTTTTGTTGTTGTTTCTCTTCTTTCCCAACCTTGACTTTCTGTTCCTATTCTATGCCTGCTCAATCCAAGTGTCCCCTCCCTCTTCCTGCTTCATGTTCTTTTTCCTGTTCTCCCTCTTCACAGTGTCAGGAGCCACCACTTATCTTGTTTGTGAAGAACCTGTTAAATCTGGCTCAATGTGTGCCCATTTGTCTTGATTTACCAGTCTTTGGCCTCCATTTTCAGCCAACAGGTAGATTCTTCATGTTTTCACCCATGATTTATCTCTCCACTTCTCTTCCTACCCTCTCTACTTTTTCTGTTTCCTTTCCTCCTCCCTCCAAACCTGTTTATCTTCAGTGTTTTGACGTTGTAGTCTCAGATATCTTGGCCAAAAACTGCATCCAGAGACTATTTACCCTTACTCTGGAATATTGTTCTTATCTCTTTGTGGTCCCAAAGAAGACCTGGCATCTGTTTACTGACATGTCATCTCTCAACTGTTTTCTAGTTGTCCCATGATTCTGAATGAAGGGTTTCTGTTCTCTTCAGTATTTTTTTCTCCCAGTCTGTGGATGACCAAGGTTTACATGCTGGAAGCTTTTTAACATATTATATTTTCCCTGTCTTCTTGACATTGTCTTCATTTCATCCATTGGCATTGAGTCTTCCAGCTCTGTGTTTTTCTTTTTGGTATTGCATCTGCTCCTTACTTCTTCAGTCAAGTCATGGGGTCATTTTCTCACCATATTCACAGATTGGGGTGGAGTTTTTGTTATTACATGGATGATTGGTTTCTCCTCATCCCTACTTAAGAGGACTCCTTTTCTCGACCTCCATTCTTCTGCAGAAGGCTGCTCAGCTCGACTGGCTTCTCGAGCATTCTGTGTCATTTCTCATGCCAACCCAATATTTGGTACATCTGGGTGTGTTATTCAACTCTCAACTCAGTTAGGCTTATCTTTCACACCTTCACCTGTGAGAAATGGAATGTCTTCTCCCAAAAATTTGCATTTCACATTTACACACATGCAAGGTTTATTTACTTTTGGGGACCGGATTCACTAGAACCACTCATTCCCTTAGGCAATGCAAACATCCACCTCCTCCAGTGTCCATTGCGAGACCAATGGAATATTTTTGGGATCCACTGTCCCTGATAGTGCATCACCCTTCTCTTCTTGGGGACTTGTCTTGGTGGCTTGACTGTTCCAAAACAATGGTGTATATCCACTTGCCACCCCTCAATTTCATTTCCATTTTTTCACAGTCACTTCTTTGTTGGGCTTGGGTTTGCCTCTAAATGACAATGTTACTTAGGGCACATGGGCTCTGGAGGAGTGTTCACATCAACATAATTGAACTTCTTGCAGTTCTCCAAGCATGTTCCTTCTTCTCCAGTCTGACAGTTCCATGGTCATTTCTTATAACAATTCTCAGCAGGGTACCCATTCAAAGTCTCTCTGCTTTCACAGTTTTGACCTGCTATTATGGGCTTATTCCCATTGGGTACATCTAATAACTTGTTATGTACCAGGGGCTCTGAACCTGATGATGAATAACTTCTCTTGGCTAAATCTGGTTCTACCCACAGAATGGTTTCTCCCTCCTCAGTTTTTTCTTGCATTTGCTCTCATTTGGGCATGTCCCTTGTTGATGTCTTTGCCACCACTCTCAGTACAAAACTTCCACTCTTATGGTCACCAGTTCCTCATCCTTCACCCCTGGCTTTTGATGCCAAGATTTGTCTCATCATTTTCTGTATGCCTATGCTCCTCTCTCATATCCTTGCCTTGATCTGTGATACTCCTTTCAGGTTCTCTTGGTGGTGCCTCTTTAGTATGCTCAACCCTGGTTTCCTCTGCTTTGTCAATTGAAGTCCAGACCCCTTCTTCCTCTCTCCCCATTTCCTTCTCTCTCTCTTGCTTCAACTTTGCTTTAGATGTCTTTTTTTCACCCAAGGGTGTTGTCCCTTCATCTTCATATGCGAGATTTGTCCAGACTGTCTTCCTTAGGGCCTGACTCTCTATTCATGTAACTTTCTTTTTATTCCATTCCTGTTGTCCTTCAACTTTAACTTGATGGCAACCATGTCCCCAAATTTTAAGGACCTATCGTCAATATCTTTATATTTCCTTCCAAAAATAAAACTAGTGGATGAAATTCTTTGAAGTTTGACAACAACTTTTCTAAAAGCATTACATTTCAGAAAAATAAAAAATTTAATTTTGACTTTTTGTACTATTTCTAATAAAAATTTATTTAATATAGCTATTTACACTCAGACTCTGAATAGTTCACATGCAAGGTGATTTTTATATGAAGTATAAAAATACTATTTTTTATTTTACAGTTTGCACATTTCCTTTTCATAATCTCTAAAACCTTATAAATGAATATCACAAGTTTTTAAGATAGATGCTTATATTTGATTTTCCATTTTCTGTACTATATCACTACTAAATCTAGCTATTGTCATTAACATACAGTACAATGAAATATGATAATATGTACATACCTTTCAACTCTTCTTAGAACTTCATTAGAAGTCTTCTTTATCTCCTATGTGTAATTTCACGTCTTTATCTTTTCACTTATAGTTTATTTTTAATTTCCCTTTCTATTCTTTGAATTATAAGGTATTTGACAATGTTAATTTTATTAAATTATATTGACAGTAAATTGGTTTAATTAAATTTTGAATATAACTCGGTAACACTTTGTGACATGCTCAGGGTATTTAAAAAGTGTAGCAGTTTTTAAAGGGTTAATAGAAGTGGTGAGTTTTTTATTGTTGGTCCATCTGCCACTCCCTTCCTTTAGGCTGTCCGTCCTAACTGTGGCCCACCTTTTGTCCTATTTTTACATGGTTCTTCAGCCATGAATTGTTGGTCTTCACCATAACCAGTTATCAAGTAGCTTTGTCAACTGAATTTTTCCTTTCCTGTTACTACCAGGTGTTCTTTGCCGCTGTCCTCTCCACTTTGTTCCGATCCTTCTTTCTTCACTGATCCCCCCCCCCTCATCTGACTCCCATACCTAACTTGCTTTAGTGTGGTTTTACATGTTCATTTGAGCTGTTGGCTTCTTGTTCTTCTTTTTACCATATTTCTCTGAAAACATGCTTCCTTCTTCCTTTCACCTTTGGTTGCTGTTGTTCAGATTTATGTGTCATCAATGCTTTCTGCACTCTCTTTTATTGTACGTATTTGCTCGTCTACCCTGACTGGACATTTCTTCCCAAAACTTTGGGCTGCTCAGAGAGTAATTATTCTTTCTTTCCTACCTCCTCCCCTTCCATCTCTCACTTCTATGCTTATTTGGACCTGGATCATCTTCTATGTCAGGTTTCGGTTGTATGGTGTTATTTGGTACAAATGTCTCCTTTTCAGGATTTCCATCATTTTTTTCTGCCTTGAAACCTATCTTCTCTTACCTTTACTGAATGGATTTGCCAACTTTTCCAGTTGATGTATTCTTCCCTGGATACTGATACTCACAGGCTGTTTCAAATTTCATCGTATCAAATTCATCACCTATCTCATGCTGTTGTCTCATTTTCACCAACCCTTGGACAAGGGCCTTCAGGCTGGCAGGTGGATGAATCCACATGCATTCGTTTTCCATTATCTTCATCATCTGACTGTTTCATCTCTCATGAGATTTCAACACCCTCTAGTTGCTGTTCTTCAGTCTACACACTGACTTTGAGAAGGATAAGTACATTTTATTTTTCATCACCTTTTTCCCTTTTATAGGATCCTGCCAGATGGCTGAGGTTTCTTTCAAGGGTATGATTATTTCCCAAAATCTGCATCAGGCCAGGAATAATGGAAAGTGCTAAACCCATCTATCCTGACTCTATCAGTGCCCACTGTCGAGATGGGGTGTTCCACAAGACTACCAGAGGTATCCTCTTTGTATTAAACTTATTCAATTGCTCAGACCAGACTGTACCATTCCATGGATTGTCATGGAAAATGCCAGCATTAAGGAAATGACTGCTCACTTCTTTGGCTCACACTTGTCAGCTTTTCAAAATAGGGTTTTGAAATCACCCATTGCACTGTTTCCAATAAAAGATCTTTCCAGCATACATTTGATGGAGATTTGGAGATGGAGATCTTCTACAGAATTTTACCCCCACCCCCCTCTTGGAGAGTTCCTCACTGATAGTGTACAGGACAATACTGTGGGAAGTAAGGTGGTGATGACACTGTCTGTGTAGTGCAAATCACCTCTTAAAAGTTAGTGTGCCCTCTTTCTCCAGCAGAACAGGTGTGTCATTCCTGTTTCTATCTGTCTAGATCAAGCCCTAACCACACTACACGTTTTGGCTTACCAACCACTTTTGTGCAGTTGCTCATACAAATAATTCCACTCATCCCTGTGACACTTGAGGTTCTTTTTCCATTCCTTCCTGGAGAAAAGTATACCCTAGTCAAGATGTGATGCAGTCTCCCACGGGGGTGTCCTTATGGAACCTCTGCCATTGGGTTCTGCACTCTATGGGCTTTCCCTTCAGGCCCATTCATAAGAGAGCTCATCTAGGTTTAATGGTTGCTCTGGTTTCACCATTTCAATCTGTGATTCCAGCTAATCTGTGTGTGGATGTGAGTTATTGTATCAGAAGCTAATATTTTCTTCATCTGAAAATCTATTTCTTATAAATACCTCTTCACACCTTCTCACCCATCCTTCCCACTTGTGCATTTTCTTCTTGCCTAGTCTAAGAATGAAGTTATTTCAAGTGCAAGTGCTTAAGGGGAGTTACTGTGCAAGGAAGTTGTGTCACCTTCCTATTGGTGGAGAGCTATTGTCTCATGATCATGTCATCATACTCTAGTACAGTTTACATTAAACAAGTGATTTGTAGGTGGGAGATAGCTGGTAGCATGCAAGTCTCGTAAACAGGTGTGCAAAGGACCAAACTATTCTCTACAAAGAGATGAGTGTCTATTGGAAATACATTTTCAGGTAAGGTAAATGTTAAGTTTCCCAATTTTCAAGTGTGAAAATTGGTATTTTACTTTCTTGAAATATTTATTAATATAATATCTTTATACTGCATGTTTCTAGAAAAATTACCAAATGCTTTTATGTTTTACATGATGTTCTGTAGACATGAAGAAATATGTATATAAACTTTATTGTTTTACTAGATTGTATACGTTAAAGACAGAGACATGCAGGTACGAGTTCATGCTTCTGTGAAGGACCCAGAAAAGGGAAAAGAAGAAACAACCAATACATTCCATTTTACTTTTACTTCAAGAGGAGACGACCTACTGCCTCGTATAATACCACGGTCATACCATGGTAATTTCTTACTATAATTTTCAAAAACTGCATATGATTCATGTAGAGCAGTATTAGAAAGTTATTATTGTTACATAACAATGAGTTATAATATTAGGTCGTCAAGAAATTAATGTCACGTTTCATTAACCACCCCCTAAAAAATGTACGTCACGTATAATAGTTAAACAAACAGCCTAAATGTCATGTTAGTGTAGCCTATATAATTTGTAAAGTTTAGTATACTCTCATCCCTTATAGTGATGGCACACAATGAGACACAAAGAATATCAAAGAAGTTTAATTGAAATGTTTTGAATGTTCATAAGTGTCAATGATCAGCAAATTGTGTTCAGGTGACTTTAGCTTTAAAAACTGTGATGACAGGGGCCGACATGTTAGAATTGATATTGATGCTTTGAAGACATTTGTTGAGTCTAACCCAAGGCAACACACTCGTGAAATGGCCCTAAAAT